GCCACAGGCACTGCCCATATGCTGGCATTCTTTTCTTTTTCTTTTTTTTTGGTAGGGACAGAGTCTCACTTTGTCACCCTTGGTAAAGTGCAGTGGCGTCACAGCTCACAGCAACCTCCAACTCCTGGGCTTAGGCAATTCTCTTGCCTCAGCCTCCCAAGTAGCTGGGACACAGGCGCCAGCCACAACGCCTAGCTATTTTTTTGTTGCAGTTTGGCCAGGGCCAGGCCTGAACCCGCCACCCTTGGCATATGGAGCTGGCGCCCTACCCATAGGCGCTGCCCATATGCTGGCATTCTTGATAAGAAGATATCAATAGTTCACAGAAAACAACCCAAACCCATATTCCTTTTTCAAATGGTCCTCAGTTTGATTGAAAATATCAAGATTGCCTTTGTCTTGTCATCCCATAGGCGTTTAAATCGATTTTCCATATCCTTACGATCAACATTTACCTCCCCTACCTCTGTTAAGACATATCCCAGTCTCAGAGATGTTAAAATACGAAATAAAAATCAACCTTAGGGTCAATAACACAGAAATCAACCCATTAACTCCACATATATTTCTTGGAGGCTAGATGAATGAAGTTGTAGTTAATCAAAGCTCTGGAGCTCTGCCTTAGCATTCTTGGAGAGTAACAAAACAAAAAGTGTCATCTGGCCAGTGTGGTGGCTCACATCTATAATCCCAGCACTTCGGGAGGCCAAGGTTCGAGAGGATCACTTGAGTTCAGGAGCTCAAGACAGCCTGTATAACCAGGTGATACCTTCATCTCTAGAAAAAACTAAAAAAATTAGCCTGGCATCAAGGCATGTATCTGTAGTCCCAGCTATTTGGGAGGCTGAGGTGAGGATCACTTGAGCCCTGGAATTGGGGCCTGCAGTGAGTTATGATTGTACCACTGCACCCAGTCTGAGAGCAAGAAAGACTCTGTTGCTCTCTCAGAGAGGAAGTTGCCATGACATACCATCAAATTAACTGCAAAATATGAAATATGACTGCTTCTAGTTAAATGTGTTTAATATCAATGAAGTAGATGGAAAAATTAAAAATTCTCATATTAGCAAAGATTTTTAAAAAATCTATAATTTTATTATATATATATTCCTTAATATATAATCATAGAATGAAATATATATCAATGAAAATGAATGTAAACTATAATACAACAAATGTTAGAAACATGTTGAGTGGAAAAAAATCAAATCTCTAAACCACCTACAGTGTGATATCTTTTTTTAAAAGTTCAAAGAACTAAAAAATAAGTCCCTACAGGGATACATACTACTTTAGGTCTTTTACATGTGTTAAAACTATTAAAAAAGGGGGTGGGGGCTTGGTGCCTGTGGCTCAAGTGGCTAAGGCGCTAGCCACGTACACCCAAGGTGGCGGGTTAGAATCCAGCCTGGGCCACCAAACAATAATGACAGCTGCAACCAAAAAATAGCCGGGCGTTGTGGCGGGCGCCTGTGGTCCCAGCTACTTGGGAGGCTGAGGCAGGAGACTCACTTAAGCCCAGGAGTTGGAGGTTGCTGTG